TCTTCCCTTTTGGTGCTCAATGTTCTCTGCCATTTTTGTAGGTAGTGATGGTCTGGCACCCCGAGAAGTCAATGTTATATGAGCTTAGAAACTTTTGTTCTTCCTAGAATCTTAAAAAGTGTATGTACTTCATCTTCAAAAAAGAAAAATTTACCTTCCACTTGCTCCATATTTGGTGAAAGATTGCTTCCCACACTTCACAGTGAAGTTTTATTTTCAATTTCTGGCTGAGAAGGGAAATGGCTGGCCAAGCCATAGAATTTATCAATCCTGGACTCAACTCAGAGGGTGTAATGACTCCATTTGGGATCAGATCAGGTCCGAAGCCCCAGTGGAACCAATATGTCATTTCTTTTCTACTGCCACAAAAAAACCTAATCGTGTAAGAATGGTAGTAGCATTTTTGTCTTGACATACACACCAACTTTATTTCCCTCTGCTCCTAAAATATTCTGTTCCAAGGGCACCAGCAAATCTTAGAAACTGGAACTTTTTACTGGCTTAATACTATAAAAATGCCTGTGAATGAACTAGGGTGAATTTGAGGTTCAAATGCAACCCTAAAAATTTCCCACTTCTTTCCCCCACTCTCCAGATTGAATCAATTCCAGACATAATTATAATATCATTTTTCAGAGCTCTAAAAATAGATGGATTCTCATTTCTCCTCTTAAGCACTGTTGCTAAATGTTTTGGCCCAAAAGTTCATTCGTTCCATGCAAGCATTAATCAATACAGGAGACATTAGTGGTTACTTGTTCAGATGAGATTTGACATTATTTTTCCACTGCCTATGGGGAGGGAAGGGCACGGGAGGGGAACATTGCCTAATAAAGATGAAGGATTTTATCTTCTTTTGTATAAAATGCAAATGATGAGGATGTATGTGATATATATTTCTCAAATATGAGGCTGCCATTTTTTTTGCTAGGAAGGAGCGACAAGGCCCTGGAGGATTTTAGAATTTGTAAATATTATATCATCTTCCTTGGTATTTAAAAAAAAATAATAAAAGGGAGAAAGAATTGGCAGGTTGCCAGATTACTTACATTACAGTAATAGATTTGCTGACCCCTGACTTCTGCTGTAGAGAAATGTATTGAATTTTTCATAATATCAGATGAGGCAGATCTAAAATCCTAGTATACGGAGCACCATTATTTAACTTGAGATTTAACAAAGCCAAAATCTTTTCAAACCAGCAATTTCTTGTATGATGATAATTTAGTGGCTCAGACTCTAATAAATCAAGGTTATAATGCCATTGATTTGTTAATTTTAACGGGTTGATTTTAAGTCATCTTTATTTTTACAAAAAAAAAAGGAAGGAGGAGAAAAAAGAACCTTGCTTTTTTCACAGTGACTGAATTTAATAAGAATCTTCGTGATAGCAAAAGGCTCCCCTACTGTTTCTGCTTTGGGGTGGAAAATGTTATTCTTGTATTATTCCTAGGGAAAAATAAAATCCCATGCTGTTACAAACCTTATGCCTATAGAAAGATGTTATTTTTTAATACATGATGGCTTACCTATTTCAGATCCATTAATGGCATCATAAATAAGCATTCTGCTAATCTGAAATGTAAAATCTGGATAATAAGAAAGGCTCATTTGTCTGCTGAGCTTTCAATCCCCAGACAAGATGTAAAGGGGGTGGAGTAACCTCTGGATTTTCTAATGAATATATTGCTTCTCTTCCTTATTACTTCCACCCACCTAAAACCCAACCCGCATTCTTAGGAGTTGCAACCCACTGAAAATATTTCTTCTGTGTAATAAGATCCTGGGTTAGGGTGCATTTTTGCTTTTATCTGCACAGTTTTGAAACTGATTAAATCTCTGTTGTACTACAAATATTTGAGGAATAATCATCTGCAAGGCACAGGCACATTGCATTATACTGAATTCTTTATGCCCTACAAACCTACTCCGCTTCCTGCATTGGGCAATGTTGAACTTATATTGGCTAACCTGTTTTTAATGGTATCACATGCACGTTAAATGGTGAAATGTTCAGAAACCTATAATAGCTTTCATCCTCTTGTACTGTAAAAACTTCTAATAATCAAATGATAAGATCATATCCTGTGGGGTAATTGTGTTGTACCATGTCAGGATAACTGAAAAAACATTCAGTGAAAATTGCACCGAACGGAAATCACTATATGAACAGCAATTGTTTGTGTGCTGTGGAGACCAGGCCTGGTCTTCAGGGCTTAGCTGGTCATATTTCTACTTGTTTCCTTTTAGCTGCTGCCTTTCTTGTTTTATTTTGGGAGCCTTTTTCCCCTGAGCCACTATAATTATCTTTCAGTGATTTAGAAGGGGGAAAAAAAACACTCAGTTGACCTTTACACACATACACATACACACACACTCACTCACTCTTCCTCTGAAAGCTTTGAACAAGCAGGGCTTGTGTTTGGATTCAGTTTTACCTTAGTCATGCCTCTTTCCAGATACAAGAAACATTTAATTCCAGATTTCCTGCTTCTGGCGTTAGGCCTTTGACCAGCAAAGAGAAATGTATTTTTTACTGCTGTTGGTCAGCCAGCTGCTTAGTTGAGTGAAGGGAAGGAAAAGAAAAAAAAAATGAAAAGAAATTAAATGAAAATGTTGTCCTGTTTCTTGAACTCGCAGAGTTGTATTAGGAAATTATTTTCCTAAACACCCACCTAGAGAGCGGAGTTGGCCCAGGATTTGAGGTGAAGTGTCCTCTGGGGCCCACCTAGGATGTTCCACGTTCCAGTTCTCTGCTTCTCACCCTCCCTCCCCTCTCTCAGAAGTAATGGTCATCCTCCTCAGCAAAGAGGTCCCTCATGGTGTCCTCCACTAGAGAACAGAATTGGGGGGAAGGATGGTACCAACAAAGGTAACCATTGCAATACCCAGACTGCAGTGCTTTTGAGTTACCATGGCAACCAAACAAAAGTAAAACAAACCTATCTGTTCCAACAATAAAAATATGTTCACATTAAAGTCAATTTAAAGTATTTCTTCCAATTTAAAATATTCAACGCATTTTGCCCCTAGACAAAAATCCCCAGCCTGCCCATGTTGAAGGGAATAAAGTCCCTGGCAGAGCCACACAGATAAAAGGCATTGGGGGGGAGGGGGATGTTGGGGACTTTACAGAGGAGACAGAATAAATTCAAGTACGAACAAGATTGCTTTTTTCTCTCATCTTTTTCTTAGTTATGCTTTTTATTATATAAACATTAACTGTATATTACAGTGGGAAGCAGGTATCTGGCAGCCATGTATTATTTTAGTAAGTCTACATAGAGAGAACAGTTTCCAGTTTTAGCAGCTGTAACATGTTTAAACTCAGTTTGTAATGGGATCTGAAGATAACTATTCCCCATGGGCGGTGTTGATCTTCACGGCTGGCCCACTGCCAGGTGGAGGGCTCAAAACTATTATTCACGCCTCCTTGCACATACCTTGTCCGAGCATGCTCAGTAAATGAATTTTGTTTCTGTTACACTAAAAATTGGGATTTTCTTCTCCCATAATTTACTTGGTATTTTCTTAGAGTGAAATATGATGATCGCAAATGTCACTGTGTCTGTGGCACCAAACCTGAACAGTTGTGTATGTTTAAGCCATTGAGATCCAAATTGCATAGTTAGAAACCAATTTTAGGATAGCTAACAAATACCCAAACCAAGAAGTTTTTGCCTGGGAGCCTTAGTTTGAAAATAATTAGGGTGCCCAATATTTGAACAGATTTATGTTGCTTATAAGCCAAGTACATTTTCTTCATTGAGTCAACTTGTCTTATTTAAAACAAATTATGTTTGCTGTATTAAAGTTCATATTTTTAAGGTTGAGTCTTGTATTAATCCCACAGTGAGTCATTAATCATACCAAATGCATTATAAAAACTTTAATCACTGAAGTTGAAACTGAGATTGTAATGCAATCCATCCCTTTTAATTACATCAGCTATTTTTCCCTTTCAGATCAAGAGCTACGTCGCAAAGGGAAAACAGATTAAAACTAAAACTGTTTGATGTTTCTGTTTTTAGAGCAATTTTATGTACTTTGTTTAAAAAGTTATATAATTAAAATACTTGAATTTTTTAGCCCTCTGATTTTTGTGGTTTAAGTGGTCTGTCTGCCTTTCCTTCTCTTTGGGGCCCTCAGCCCTCTTTTATTTGGCACCCCAAAACAGAGTTCCTCAGGCAGAGGTCATTTACCCTTCCCCTCCCATCAGAGCTCCTAGATAAGATTGCTGTCTCTCAGCCATGCTGTGTTTTCTTCCCACTATTCTCTTTAAGTATCTGGTCGATATATATGAAAATATAAATTTGAAGCCAAGCAGAACTTGATTTAAATTCCAACAATAACAACTGGTGTGATTCTCAGGCAAATTATTTAATATTGGGGCCTCAGTTGCCTCATCTGTTGCAAAGGACCAATGTTAACAACGGAAATGGCAGCAATAACAATACTACTGCTCCTTAAAGATGTTGTGGAGATTACATGAAATAATCTGTAGAATGGATCTAGGACCTGCTAGTATATAAACTTGATGAGGTCAGGGACTTTGAATGTTTTGCTCACTACCATATCTCAATGCTTAAAACACTCTCTGGCACAGAGTAGATGCTCAATAACAGTCATTGGCAGAATGATCAGTGAATTAGAGCCATCATTGTTGCTGTGTTGTAGCTGACATCTCACTGGTTACCACGGGCAGTGATGATGTAATCTCAGATGCTTCCACTAGTAACTTTGGTATCTAGATTTACATAACCAGAAGGAGGTCTTGCAAAGAAGTATGTACGTTTCCAGTACCTGGTTCTGACTAGGGAAGTTGATCACTAAACTGTGGGGTGAGTTTCTAGAAATGCATTGATGTCATTGGAGATGAATTCATTCAGTAAATTTCTTTCATTTAGAAAAAAAAAGTAAACCAACCCCACCCCCACCCCAGCATCGATGCTACTGGAACTACCTTCTTTGATTGATCATCTCTTCTGATATCCTTCTAGATTAATCCTACCATATGAAAGGTTTATTAAAGGAGAGGAAGATAAGCCCCTGCCTCCAATCAAACCTCGGAAACAGGAGAACAGTTCACAGGAAAATGAGAATAAAACAAAAATATCAGGAACCAAACGCATCAAACATGAAATCCCTAAGAACAAGAAAGAAAAAGAGAATGCCCCAAAGCCCCAGGATGCATCAGAGGTGAGTTGCTCTCCTCCACATAAATAGCTTTGTGACACTTGTCCTGCCTTGGGGTCTCCTGAGCCCTCATCCACAGCTGCGTCTAGACTGAGGAAATCAAATTATCTAAACCTCATAGTTCCTCCAAATAGAAGACCCTTCCATTTTCTCAGGACCTGAAAGTCACTGCATGGTATTGAATGGAATAGACCAAGAAAGGTTCTAGAAAAATGCAGCTATCCTGTAGCTATCTGATAGCAAATACTGGCTCTGATATTAGGAGCCAGAGCTTCAGTGCTTAAAAACCAATAGACTCCAATGTGAAAGATTTGGCTTCATGGCCGTTTCACAGCCAGTCTATCCCAAGAGTTCATGTGACTTTCAAACATGGTTTGTGGAATCTAGAAAGGCAGGATGTTGAAATTGATGTGCTGTGTGTCTGTACAACTGTCCTGAAAACTTGAGAGATTGTTTGTCTTAAATAATTGACCTCTATGCAGCCTTGGGTTAAGACCAATTTAGAAACATCTTAAGTACATATTATTTATAGGGAAATTTTGAAATGATTCCTCTGAAACCATTATTATCTCTCATGTTAACAGGTAGTTTCTGAACCTTTTAAAACAAGTCCCAGCTACCCACAACCCCCTGCAGCTCTTTGATAGAAGCCATTACAGTCAGCAGGCAGTCAGTCATGGAGGCCAGTCAGGGTTGTGTTTCAACATGAATAATAAAAACCCTGCTGCCCATTAAACATACACACATACAAGGAAAAAAAAAAAAAACTTACTACCCACATTTGGAGACAGCATGTTCTAGGATTCAACCCCAGAGGGAATTTTGGTACTGATATTAAACACCCCCTGAAAAGTCAGGTTTATAATGAACACATAAGAGACTCCCTAATTAAACACTGGCTTACGACAGACAGCACACACACCACCCTCCTAACTAGAAATTAACTTACCTAACTGATGCCTGTATAAGAAGATAGTTGGAATATAAATTGAATATTTAAAAAAGGGGTTTTAAATTTCATAATTATTTTAAGCTTTAGTAATTAAAACAACACAATAAAAGTTGATGCTGAGATTTGTAAATATCTACAGGCTTGCAATAAAAATGACCAAAAGCAAGGAAATTCCAAGTTAAGGTTACATTTCATTTCCCCTTTATCCTGTTAACCTGATACATTGTTATAAGATTTTGGATCAGTGAGTTCTATTAGATAACATGCATACAAAATAGCCAGAGCACCAGGAGACAAACTGAGGACCCAGGAGGCCAGGTGATCTTGAATGGTTCCATTTAAGGGAAGAAGTTTGAAATAGGTTGGTTTGTGAGTTGTGGAGGAATGCTGGCCCCCATACTGAGCCTATCAACTTGGGAGATGACCACTGCTGAGAGTAGTCTGACCCCTGCAGCTTCTAAAACCCTAAAAGCTAAGCTTAAGGCTCCCTGTTTCCAGTAGGCCCCCACATTTATTCCCTTCATGAATCTGTGTCTTGATACCAAAGATCATGTGATCTTACATTACGTAAATATCCCCAAATCCCGTACCATTACTTAGGTTAAGAATTGCTCCCCTCTTCCAAGGAGAACACATGTAAATTTACCTGATTTACTTTTTCCCATTGATTATGTATTTGGACTTTGGGGGTTGCCTTGTTATTGTTGCTAGTGTTTTAAATTTTTGATGTTTTCAATATGAAGCAGTAAACTCACTGGAGTTACTAACTCTTCTAGTCAACTCACTGTCTTCAAGTAAATGGATTGCAAATTGCATGGGGGGAAGGCATCATTTAATTGACAAGGACAGATCACAAAAATCATCCTGTATTCTGTCTAACTTTCAAAGACCTCCTAACCTGTTTTACAACCAAAAGCCTAAGGCTCCATTGAACTGAAAGCCTAGACCACAGATACGGCAGTGGGACTGTTTCTCTATGGCCCCACTTCAAGTATGGCTCCAACAGAATCTAACATTCAAACACAATTTGCTGTTTTTCTTATATCTTACTCATTTTTCTGTATTTGCATGCAATGTATAAAAGCTCAAGAGACCAATGACGATTGTTACTGTTGAACAAGTAATGATATTGTACTGGAAAATATCAGTACAAATGATAAGCAAAGGGTCTTCGGCAGAATACATTCCTAAAAAGCAGAGATGTCTTTTAAGGAGAGTTAAGGAGAAATGCTTACAAAATGGGTATGACTCCTTAAATTTTCTGCTCCTATGCATTCTTATACCCACATCTTCAGTCTTACCCAAGATGCTGATATGGTTGATACTTCTTAACAAAGAACAACATTTAAGGGATGAGATGGGGGTGGGGAGAGGCTGGGGAGACCAGCTCAATACAACGGTTTTGTGACTGTTCTCCACTGAAACATGTCAGGGCAGAATGACAGCTGTTTTAAAAAGGCCTGTCAGTCAGTTGGGTCACAGATGGAAAGTTAAAATGACCTTCTGAGGTCAAAGTTTGCACAGCTACATAATGGAATGAATGGGTTGAATTATGCCCACAACTTTTTCTGTCAATAGGGACATATAAAGAGCATCCATTTCATTGGTTACAACTTATTTCAATGAACAGAAAAGCTGTATTTGTGGCGACACCCACTGCCTGAATGTTGACAGCTTCATTTTTAGCTGGAAAGTAGTGTCTTGCAGCCAGAAGAACTAAGCATCTTTCTACCCCATGGTAGATACACTGACATTGCAGCTGCCTAATTTCTGATACTCTAGCTTTATCTGCCTGTCGTATGGCCCTGAATGGAAGTCAGTAACATTTAAGCATCCTTAATTTTATACATCATCTTAGGTACTTTAGGGACAGGATTTGCTCTCTCAGAAGAGAGACACAAGAAGTTATACTAAGTTTGTTTTTGTTGTTGACATGGAGTTGCTTGGATTTTTGCAAGCGAGAGGCTTTTAAAAAAATCTTTCTCCAAAGTGTCATAAAGCACAACATGTAATTTTAAAACCATTTGGATAATTGACTGATTTGACAAGAAGACAACCTCAGAATTAAACTATATGTTAGAATCAAGGAGTGATATGATTGTATACCACCAGTACGTAACACTCAGCTATTTTGATAGGTGTCTCATGAGGGACCAAAGTGAATGTGCATATTTTATCTAATGTTTCTGTAATTTGGGTTTCTTTGTTTAGAGCCATGATTGGGGGGTAATACAGCTTTACAGAAACTTACTGAGCTTGATTGATAAGCCTGTTTTTGAGAAAAACTGCTGTGTGTAATATTTTATTTCATAGGAATATATGTCAATGTATTTGGCTTCCTTCTGACTGGCTTTTTGAAATGTTTTATCAGGTTTCATCAGAGCAAGAGAAAGAGCAAGAGACTTTAAACCAGAAGAGCATCGCTGAGCCTCTCCCAACAGTAGACAAGAAAAAAATGGAAGGATACCAGGAATTTGCAGCAAGGCCCCTGGCTTCTAGAGCAGACCCAGAAAAGGACAATGACAAAGATCCAGGTGCCAACGGTGACAAGGTGGCAGAGGAGCCAGGAGAGAAGGGGCCTACGGCTCCACTCCCCAACGCCCCACCAGTCCCGGAAAGGGATCCAGCCCTGATCCCCGGCAAACAATCACTCACCTCTTCGGGTGCACTTGTGGACTCAAAACAAGAGCCCAACCCCTGCTGCTTTACTGAAAGTCCAGAAAATGAACTCCAAGAAGTATCCTTCTCCAGCTTCCCCACCACGCAGCCACCACTGGCAAACCAGAGTGACGTGGAGGATGACAAGCTGCCCGCGGTAGCAGACTACATTGCCAACTGCACCGTGAAGGTGGACCAGCTGGGCAGTGACGACATCCACAATGCACTGAAGCAGACCCCAAAGGTCCTGGTGGTGCAGTCATTTGACATGTTCAAAGACAAAGACCTCACTGGGCCTATGAATGAGAACCATGGACTGAACTACACTCCCCTGCTTTACTCAAGGGGCAACCCAGGCATCATGTCCCCACTGGCCAAGAAAAAACTTCTGTCCCAAGTGAGTGGGGCCAGCCTCTCCAGCAGCTACCCCTATGGCTCCCCACCCCCCTTGATCAGCAAAAAGAAATTGATTGCAAGGGATGACTTGTGTTCCGGTCTGTCCCAGGCCAACCACGGCCAGAGCACTGACCACATGGCCATCAGTCGGCCCTCTGTGATCCAGCATGTCCAGAGTTTCAGAAGCAAACCCTCGGAGGAGCGGAAGAGCATCAATGACATCTTTAAGCATGACAAGCTGAGTCGATCGGATCCCCACCGCTGCAGCTTCTCCAAGCATCATCTTAGCTCCCTTGCTGACTCCTATGTCCTGAAGCAAGAAATCCAGGAGAGCAAAGAGAAGCTGCTAGAGAAAAGGGCCCTCCCCCACTCCCACATGCCTAGCTTCCTGGCCGATTTCTACTCGTCCCCTCATCTCCACAGCCTCTATAGACACACTGAGCACCATCTTCACAATGAACAGACATCCAAGTATCCTTGCAGGGACATGTACAGGGAATCAGAAAACAGTTCCTTCCCTTCTCACAAACACCAAGAGAAGCTCCATATAAATTATCTCACGTCTCTTCATCTGCAAGACAAAAAGTCGGCTGCAGCTGAAGCTCCCACGGATGATCAGCCAACGGATCTGAGCCTCCCCAAGAACCCGCACAAACCCACCGGCAAGGTCCTGGGCCTGGCCCACTCTGCCACGGGGCCCCAGGAGAGCAAAAGCATTGCCCAGTTCCAGGTCGGCAGTCAGAGTCGAGACTGTCACCCCAAAGCCTGTCGGGTATCACCCATGACCATGTCAGCCGCTAAAAAATACCCTGAATCTCTTTCCAGATCGGGCAAACCTCACCATGTGAGACTGGAGAGTTTCAGGAAGATGGAAGGCATGGTCCACCCTATCCTGCACCGGAAAATGAGCCCGCAGAACATTGGGGCGGCCCGTCCCATAAAACGCAGCCTGGAGGATTTGGACCTTGTGATTGCTGGGAAAAAGGCCCGGGCAGTATCACCCCTGGACCCCTCCAAAGAGGCATCTGGGAAGGAGAAGGGCTGTGAGCATGAGAGCGAAGGAGGCAAGGCACCACACAGTGGACATTCCGGGGGCACGTCGGAAGGTCACAAGGCCCCCCTTTCTTCCCCCATTTTCCCAGGTTTGTATTCCGGGAGCCTGTGTAACTCGGGCCTCAACTCTAGGCTCCCAGCGGGGTATTCTCATTCTCTGCAGTACTTGAAAAACCAGACTGTGCTTTCCCCGCTCATGCAGCCCCTGGCTTTCCACTCGCTCGTGATGCAAAGAGGGATTTTCACGTCACCGACAAATTCTCAACAGCTGTACAGACACTTGGCCGCGGCCACACCTGTAGGAAGTTCGTACGGGGACCTTTTGCACAACAGCATTTATCCTTTAGCTGCTATAAATCCTCAAGCTGCCTTTCCATCTTCTCAGCTGTCGTCCGTACACCCCAGTACAAAACTGTAAGCCCGACTCGACCCAGCATCTGTGTGGCTAGCAAAGCTTCACTCCTTACGCTGGAGTGATCAGGCTTATATAATTAGAAGTCAGTATTTCTTCTAATCTGGGGATAAGATTAGACCTGGCCAACAGCGCCGAGAAGAGGGGGTGAGCATACCTGATTTTCTGGGATGACTGTTGGTGGGTCAGTCTTGCCCTTCCGATATCTGCCCTGGCACCCAGACCTTTCACTTTGCACTGGGGCGGGGGAGGGGCTTATGAAGGGGGTTATGTGCATCCAGGAAGAACTTAGAGGACCCCATCTGAGTTCTGAAGGTCAAAAAACAATCTGAGCAAAAAAAAACAAGGGGGGCAGGCATTTCAAAGAAGGCGCAAGGAAGACTGGCAGATACGCCAAGGGATGCCCCTTCTTTTCATAAAACTCTCCAAGGTTCAATCAATGCAATGTATAGTGAAACTTCAATAGGTCTTTCATTTTGACACTATTAAACAATCCAGAGAAGTAAACACTGTTAAATTGACTGTATATATTTGCTTCTTAAAACTACCCGTATCACTGTTTGCTCACCTAATTTATATACAGGTAGTACCATTTCCTCCCAGTTCCTCCGTGTTTTTTTTTTTTTTTTATTGAACAGGATTGCTTTTGTTTGCAGGTCTTTTTGTTTTTGTTTTTGTTTTGTTCAAAGGCTGACTGACTGTCCTAGTTGTTGATGTGTGTTTGTAATTTTTCCACATCTTATCATTTTGAGCAGCTTTGGGTGGAAAAGTTATTGTTTACAAATTGAAGCAACTGATTCTAGTGGAACAAATGATAAAGAAACAGTTGAGCGCACAATAGTGCAAAGAACTTTCCTTTGCAGATTCACAACTTAAGGATTTTGTTCCTCACAAATGGCATAGTTAAAGAGCTTATACACTGCTTACCCAGCCAGATGCTTTGCTTTGAAGTATTGGGTTATGTGAAAATATCAAGCATTGTACTCACCTTATCTAGGCTGTGAAACTGTCCTACATACCAGAGGAATCATAAAAACAAAAATTTCATTGGCAGCAAGCTGCTGAATAACAACCGAGTCTAGAGGACATATTTGTGGGCTGCACAGATATTTTAGGAATTTCAGAAATTAGAACAGGAGCCAAAATGATTTACATTGGTGTTGGCTCTGGTCCTCCCTAACAGTCTGGAAAATGGGGTTGAGACAAGGATGGAGCTCAACTATCCAACAGCAGATGAGCAGCTGGAGGCCTGGACACCAGATACCTTTCCTGGGCTGAGGTCTTTTGAGTCATATAAGTAGATATGTTGCCTTCATCAAGTTGGTTTCTTGTCGTTCCCAAGGAGACCTCCTAAGCAACATCTTTGGGGACAATTGGCTTACTGAATTACCAATTTCAAAAGAAAGTCATCCTTTGGGACTTGTGGGCTGTGCATTCTGTGTATGTGTAAGCACCTGTGGTGGTTTGTCTCATGTTTGGAACCACCTGACTATCCAGTCCACTTTATATATATATATATATATTTTTTTTTTTATTGTGGGAAAGAGATGGTCAAGCTGTACAAGCAGTCAAATGGTGTAGAGAATGTTTACTGTCATTCTTGCCACTTTATTCCATTTGCTGCCAAGGTATAACATCAAAGTAGATGCATTTGCTAAGCATGGTAAAAATCAATCAATACAGAGAGTGGATTTTCTGTCCAAGTCCCATCCCTGCTAAGACTGCTTTGATGAACTCCCTTGCCAACCCCCTCCCCAACACTACCAGTAGATATTAGAACCATAGTTAACCAAGTCTCTTACCTCTGAAATATTTAATTCTATGAAAATTGGTGACAATTTTCAACTTCTAAATAGGTAACTCAACTGCAAAATAAGCAAAACTGGTAACAGTGAAACTGCGACTCTTAAGCCATGCATGCTGTGCATTTGTATTGAAATGTCTCCATGATACGAAGCCAAATATTCAATGTAACATACTTAATATCCAAAGGTGGAAACAAAAGAATGTAGAGATCTAGTGTTAAGAGTTCCATTTGCTTCAATTAATTATTTACCTTCCTGTGGAATAATATATATATATATATATATATTTAATAGAACCATAGATAGACTAGTAGAATTTAGATTATAAATGTGTGAATGCAGATTATCCTGCTATTGCACAAGATAGAGGGGGAAAAAAATCTCAATTCCAGCTGGCAAAATGCTGGCCAGGACACTTTTAAGAAAGTTGCACTAGACTGAATGGTCACAGAATCAGAGGACATGGAAGACAAAGGAAACTCCAGTGGTTCAGCAGCAGACATGGGCTAGATCGTACATAGTTTCTATGAGTTCCTTTCTCAGAGAAAATGGGGGTCACTGCCCCTCGAGGAGCTCACCTATCCTTTTCGAATTGGGGCATTTGTTTTCCCCACCGCAATAATTTCAGTCTGGTTGCATCATGTTGGAATTCGATCACACCATTTTCAAACAATGTTAACATAGTCCAGCTTTTGTTTTTCTCACTGTTTCTGTCTGAGGAAGCTCATACCCTCAGCAAAACATCAGGACAAATAAAGAGAAATGGGGGTATACATTCCCAACAGAAGCTGTGTGTTATTTGTTTTAAAACTCAAACAGAGATCTTGGAAATCTTTCAAAAAGACCATTGAATTCTTCATTGGCTGAGAACTACATTTTAAAAAGTCTTAAATAAGGCTTTGTTTGCATTGTTTGAGTTCAAGGGGCCTTATTATTGAATGGAATTGCACAAGCCTTTCTTTGTGCAATCAAACCATTGTTATTGGTAGTTTTGTAAAGGAAACTGTGGAATCTAATTGGCAACGGAGTCATAAATCTATTTACTGAGTGTGGCTTCCAAGAAGTGTTGCAATTCAAAATGCACTAAGTCCGTGATTTACTGGAGATTCTAAATAATATTTTTGAAAAACCTCTCCGTGTAACTTCTGGTTTAACTTTTGGCAACTCAATATTAAAAAACAGCCCAACTGAATTAAGTATTCTCCTAGTAAGTGATTCAAACTTGTACTATTTGCCACAGGACTGACTTATTTATTAACTAGCTAGAAGCTCTTAAGTTCACTTGTTTATCAGGGCATATACAGAAGGGTTTGTTAAAACTCAATGTTGACTTTACAACTTTCTGACCTGGTGCATGAATTCTCAAGTACTGTATTTCACTGTGTTGGTGTGTCTGATGGAAATTTCAAGGTGATCCCACAAAACTATTTTATGTAGTGTGCCTTCAAAGAGAACCATTTATTTCTCTTCACTGTTGTCCCACAAAGTCACATTTGGTGGTGGTCAGCCAAGTCCCATCTGGTCTAGTTTTACTCTTGTCCCAATTTTAAAGATAAATGGGAACAAGTTTGCCCTGGTGAGACCCACACCATTGCAATGATTATCTTGAGCACTTAAATTCCAGTGTTGGCTGTTGATGTATTTGATACTCTGCCTGTCTCCCCATGGTTGAAATATGTCTGAAGAATAGCAGCATAATCTCTTGGCTGTTTATACTTTTTTAAACTTTCCTGTGTTGTAAATATTGTATACTTTTGGTGATTCCAGCTATGTAACCTCTATGCTCTGTAAGGTGATTATTTGTATATAGCAACATGGCCCAGTGATATTATATAGTTTCCCAATGGAGAGGTTATTGAGTAACCTTTGCATTAGTTTAAACACTACCAGAAGAATGCTGAGCCAACTATAAACACTCAATTTTGTATGTTTTCCAAATTGTACTTATTACTGCTTTTGATACTGTATTACGTGCCAATAGTTTCCCAATCACATAGCAGGCAAGAGATATTTTGTACTTTTTGATCCACTGTAATATTTAATAAAAAATGTTACTATCTGTTTCCTTTTGGGTGTGAGTAATCTGTCACTTCTTCCTGAGTAGCCTTGTGGCCTCTTAAGAGCCATCTCCGCCCTATTGTGTCCAAACTGCTAATAGCAGTAATTAATGATGTGTGATGATGAGTGTGTATTCATTCAGAACCTCTGGGTGCGTGATTGGCAGATGCTATCTTTGATCTTCACCACCTCAAATCAATATGATTATGTCCATTATACTGGTGAGAAAATCAAGCTTAGAAAGATATCAACTTACCTGCTTACCCAATAGATAGAGCTAGAATTTGAACCCAGGGCTCTTAAATCTGTGAATTTCCTTGTGGACTAAATTCCTCTCCTGACAGTTAACACAAGTCACAGTTTGTTTATTCACTCAACAAAAATTTATTCATACTTCAATTGCCAGGCATAGTATTAGGAAGTGGGAATAGTGAGTAAAAGGTAAATATTATCATGGGAGCTTATCTATCTTATATAGAAGAGAGTTAATCAAATAATTACCCATATAAACATAAAACCTCAACCCGGCCTAGGTGCTGGGAAGAGGCAATGATACTAGAGTGATAAATGAAGAGGAAGTAGTGATTGATAATTGATGGATGGGTATGACCAGGTGAGAGGACTGAGAGAGAATATTCCAAGCACAGGACACCAAAGGTGCAAGTGATTGTGGCTTGTTACAGGAAATGAACAAAAACCTGTGCACCAGAAACATCATTACAAGATCCAAGGAATGAGGTGGAGGTGACTGACCTCAGACTCCGTAGCAGGAACCAGCCAGATAATAGGCAAAGTTGAGCATTTTGATGTGTATCCTAAGCAAGAAGCGATTTAAACATGGAAATGTTCAAATTTGACCTTTCTTTCTTTCTTTTACTGTAGCTAACTTTCTGTGTGAAATTATATTGCTCTGTAGACTGAGCAATATAATATAAAGATGATTTTTTCATTTGGAGCAGTACTTTGGGACAGTGGAGGGGTCTTACAAATACTTAAAAGTAAGGATCAACAGACATGGTGATGGATTAAATGGAACAAGGAATATGCATAATCAGGGTTGAGAAGCTAGGAAAACAGCCTATTCTGATGTTTGGTCACAATGAACAAAGATTTCTCATTTTTGGCCTCTTCATCCTCTGCTTCTAGACTTCCCCTTGGCATATTACTAGTTGAAATGAGGCATTTGTGAAATCGTACTTTATCTGTTTCCTTCTTAATGGGTCCCAGAGGTGGGGTGGGGCTGAGGGTGGGCTTGACCAGAAAGCTGGTGAATGACCATCTAGTCAGGATGGACTCTGAAAACACTGGAGAGTAAGCAATTAGCAAGCAAGCAAGCATGTCGTTCCAACTTTGGAAGAAAGACCACACATATCTTGATAAAAGACACAAGACCCTTTTTCTTATCACGGTGGATTCCATGAGGGACTCTGCCCATCTTTCTCAAGCCAGCAGAAGTTGCAGTCACCTGTTGAGAGGCTTCATCTTCATTGTTGCTACACTTTGCTAACCCAGCACCCAGCAAACAAGGAGGAACCCCTACCCTCACGGTCTCCTTGCTCTCCCTCTGATTCATGTGTATTTCACCATATCATGTGAATTGCCATCAGTACATCAAAAGAATGTTCTTCCATCTGTGACACATTCAGCATTTATAGATCTGAAACTTGAATCATACACAACAGGAAGCATCATGATAAGTTATCTATTTTTACCAGGACTTCTGGCAAGTAACTATTGGGAAGGAGGTGTTTTTGCTAAAGATGTCACTCATAATGCCAAAGCAATGAAAATGCCCAATGATTATTCTAGGAAAGTAGCCAAAATTGACAAATGTTTCAGCACTGATAGTGACCAGGAAATGGGTGATCATTTCCATTAACAAGTGTATAAGTGTCAGAAGTTGGGATTGGGGTTAGGGTTGACCTCTGACCAGGAACAATGAGAAAGAAAGAAAAGCCTTCAAGATCGACCTAGGGAATATAATAAAACACATTGATTTTTGTTTCATTATTCAGAATTCCTAAGTTTTGGAGTCTCCAGGTTAATTCCTGGGGTAGATAACATTCCAAAATATTTGTTTAACCAGCTTAAAGAACAAACTATTTATATCATGTTAGCCATAACCATAGGCATTCAGCCAGCCCAGTGAGGACAAAGTGATCTGTTCCCTGAGGCATCCATATAAAAGCAAGTACTAAATTATTGAAATTCCCTCCCTAATAGAGCTGTCCAGTGGAACTTCCTGGAATGATGGAAAAGTTATATATTAATAGTTCAGTTTCCCAATACTCTTAACTACTAGTCAATGTAGCGACTGAGTGCTTGAAACCTGTCTAGTGTGACAGAGACAGTCTAATTTTTTTTTATTCATTTCATTTGAAATAGCCACATGTGACTAGTAGGGCTGGCACTGGAAAGCTTGACCCTAGAGGGATCTGTTGGCCATTGTGCACATATATAAGTAGATCCAATTACAGACACAAGTCAATATCTGCCCTTATTTCTCCCACATTGAGATAAAGGAGGCAGCGTTGTTTCAGCCAAACTTCACTTAATTAATTAACAGGGACTATAGTTTGAACACTATTTTTCACTCAGGATTTACACAGGCCTGTAAGTACTAACTGAGGGATAAACAAATCACTGAAAGAACATTAAGAAGAAAGTTTGCAACTACAGCATCTGGTAGTCCAGCCATGCCTTTAAATCTGTGTGATATTTGAATGTAACCTTATCTGTCTATGCAGTGCTAGTTGGCCAAGTTTGAGTCATGCAGCTTCACTCTAGACAATTCAAGCCTTGGCCCTTGAACTTCAAACCTGAATCTGTTGCTTTATTTTTCCTTTATACATAGTAACAACCAAGGAAGTAGATCAACAGCTCTGTCTGTGCCAGCTCTGTCTGTGTTTTAAATTAATTAATTTGATGCTTATAGCATCCTGTGATGTGGACATTATACTTATTACTACTTTACAGTTGATGAAAACAAGGCATATTTGACCTTTCACCTGTGGCAGCTCTGTACTACCAGAAAGTTCTTTCCTTAAGTTTGTTCTTATTGGGTGCATCTCTTTCCTTAATTATTCCCCTACTTTGACCATGAAATTCAAGGGAATAGTCAAAGAACTTCATCAAAATACCTTCAGGTTGTTTGTAAATTAATGAGGCAAAAGGAAAGAGAAGACACCAAAAATGAGTGTTAGGAAAGCAAAATGAATGCATTAGAAACTTTAAATTATGAAAATAGCTTTAACTTTAAGCCTAAAAATTAGAAGACCTATATGAAAGAGCTATTTTCTTGGAAAATAAATTTACAAAAAAAGATACAGCTCAAATAATGTCTAAAACCTTTTTAAGCATAAACAGTTCCCTACCAAAAAACAACAACACCCCACCCAGATGATTTTAAGAACTGTGTCAGCAGATTAAAAAGGAGGAAAAACTACCCAGTTGTTTTCATGGGCTTATTTTTACCTCGTTATCAAAAATCCAAAAGGAAAGTGAAAGAAAAAAAAAAGGGCAAATCTTATTTGTAATGCAGATGCATGGAATCCTAAGCAATGTGCAGAATATCACAAACATTTTGTTTACATATAGAGGAATGCATAGAATGCATACACACATATATGTACGTACATATACAAAGTATAGTAAAATGGCAGACATATTTGAAATGCATTTAAAGCAATATTACATTATAACCAAGAAAAGTTTATTCTAGAAATATAAAGATGATGATAAAATCTTAGAAATTCTTTTGAAGCAATAATATGTGAAAGCCATCTGGAAAAAAATTAAGTTGGCTCCAAGCTTTAATACACAGATACATTTCAAAGAAGAAAACATGGGAGGATTGTTTATAACCCTGGTGCTGGGAAAGCCATTCAATGATCCAACATTTAGATGTCGACAAATTTTAATCAAATTTGAGCAAAAATGCAAAAATCAGATGCTCTAAATGATGATTTATGTACAAGAAAATTAAGTCCCTATATGAAAAAAATATATATTGTTTCCTTTGATAATAAATACTGCAATTCATATCACAAAAGGCTAATCTTTCTGCTACATAAAACATCAGACAGAAATGGGCAAATAATTCTAAAATGTACAAATTGTAATGTACCATTCAATTAATTTTGACAAACAGTCATATGATTAAGACCAAGAGCAAAGAGAGCACACGTCCACTGACAGAACATTTCTCATGACACTTTCCAGTCAGCTGACTTGCTGTAAGCCAGAGGCAATCTCTGTTCTGATTGCTATCGTCAAAGATTTGTTTTACTTGTTTTTCGCACTCCATATTGGGAATGCAAACATATTTACCATCACGTCACTGGTTTTGTTTGACATGGCAGTTTATTTAACAATAGATCTTTTGCAGTGTAATATGACAGGGAAATGAATTAGAAATCATTTTCTGCAAAGATTGAAAAGGAAGAAATAGAAATTGATATTCTTCATAAACAATATGATTATTTGTACAGAAAAATCTAAGAAATTATTATAATAAATAATAGAACTCAGCACATTTGCTCAATATAAAATTAAAATATATACATAATATTATTCTTTACCAACGACACTTGAAAAAAATTAAAAATAGCAGTAAAACCAATAAGTACCTAAGAATAAACCAACAAAGTAATTTGGAAAACAACTTGTCAAAATCCAGCAAAGTTGTAAATGTGCTTACTCTAAATTCAGCAAAAACAACTTCTAAACCACCGTGCATGTGTTAGAAAGAATAAAATAGTATGTATGTTCATCAGCAGTGTCTATTCTCATCACACACAGAGAAACACAGACACAAAGCAACATAAAAGTTCACTAACGAAAAATGGATAATATACAGTAGCTAAAACTAATATTTAGAATATCTACATGGAACGTAAAGAGAATATGAAAAAGACAATGTTGAGTGGGAAAAAAACATGTTTCAAAAGTTTCTAACACTGAAATGAAATGAAAGCGTAAAGTAGGACAACACTGTTTATGGATA